TTTGTGGCTTCCTGGACAGCAGGGGGCGATATGGATCATAGAGAGCCAATCTACCAAGAAGAAGAACAAGGATCACAACAAGAAGGGTACCACATCCGGTTCAGCGAGCAAGTGTTTCCGCGGACTCCAAGCCGGGCTCACAGTGAGTAATTTTAACATTTTAACGAACTATTTGAAAATGTATTGATGCAGACAATTTCGGAGCATCATTCCGGCACGTCGCTCCTCTAATTTGTTGATTGTTACTAAGTCATCGAAGTTATCGTGAACACACAACTACGGTGGCCAGTTCACAAATGAAGGCAGATTTGTCTGAAAACTATTCCCACAAATGCATCCGTGACTTTTTTGCAATTGTTGTTCGAAATATATTTGTGGTTTTCATAAAATAAATACTCAATTGCATAAAATACGTGTTGATAATATCCACAAATATACTCGTCATTTTCAAACGTGTTCTCGGGTCCCCAAATCCATTCAGGATTTTCACGTGTTTCTCGATGTGGCGTGAGCATTTCTCATGACTTTGAGATCCCGTTTTCGTCCGCGAGGAGGAGGCAGTGTTGCTGTCTCCAATTTACGGGAACTTTAGTGGACGGTTGAACGGCGTTGAGTCTTTCAAGAGTTGAGCAGTTGATTGAAAGGTGGTTGCTCAATGTACATGAGGTGTCGAGAGAAAGCCGCGAGCGGGCAGATTTTGAAATGGACGTGTTCGAAGTGAAGGTGCCACTTATTCTGTGAAGAATAACACAAATCAAAACAAAAACCTACCAATTTTTTTTTTTTTTTTGGTGGGCAGGGGGGGACAGAAGAGTATGACTTCCCACTTTTGTTTTTCTTTCTGCCTGACTAGCTCGAAAAGGCGACTTGGCTAAAGGTGCAGCCGACAGACTACGAGGACATGCGGAAGGGAGCCCAAACTGCATTTGAACACATGTGAGCATTGAGCCTTGTTGTGTGCTTGGAGAGCCCATATCTGATGTCACGTCGCACCACAAGGTGGAGGTGAGTGCGCCCGCCTGTCTCTCACTCAACTTAAACTTCTGCTCCGTGTACTGCACAACATTGTCAACTACTCATGTTGTGGAGTACACGGCACTTAGTTTTTGTCTCAGTGAGAGAAGTCAGACGTGCTCATGTCCACCTTGGTGTGTCATGAGATGTGACATCACACATGAGCTGGTCAAGCACATGCAAGACTTCAGCTGCTCCCATCTCGGTCATGATGTTGTGGAGTACACGGCACTTAGTTTTTGTCTCAGTGAGAGAAGTCGGACATGCTCATGTCCCCCTTGGTGTGTCTTGAGATGTGACATCACACGTGAGCTGAGCAAGCACATGTAAGACTTAAGCTGCTCCCATCTCGGGCCTGTCGTCAGTGTTTGTGTGTGTGCAACTTGAACTGGCCCATGCAAACAGTGACTGGTAAAATGCTTTCACATTGTACTGTTTGCTTTTCTGTCCAATAAATTGTTCAACTTGAATTCGAGTCTTTGCCTTTCATGACTAAGTCCATCCTCAACTCACTCGAAGCCTTTCATGCTGAGTGGTCACTGCAGCGGAAGACTTCTCAAAGACTTAAGTCTCGAGGAGAGAGTTGCACATCAGTCACTCGTATGGCCACAAGTGTAACACTGCCATTCCGTTGGTCTCCACATGACTCGAAACTCCAAGAATTGAGCTTTTGGGTCATGTGAAACCGACGGGAACAGTGAAAAGACTGTCTGGTGTGACCGAAGGGCAGCTCTCACCTCAAAACTCAAGTGGGACTTAGAAATTTTTCTGCAAAGCCTGCCCAAACCACACCCAATTTCACATCCACCAATCACGGCGAGAACCTCATTTGCATAAATTTGCATAACCAA